ATAATATAAATCTTGGCAATAACTCTACCCTATGTGGGTTTTCATGAGGGAAAAGCACTTACAAAACAGGGTGGCCATAAATAATCAATGGAGAAGCAAGGCGAGATTAGTCAAGAATGAAACATTATGCCAGTTGGATTGAAATATAGCTGAGAAGAAATGAAAGAGAATAATAAACTCAGTAACTGCTCCTTGATACTCCAGGAAAAGTGAAAGGAAGCTGGATGACTTTTGAAACCAAATGTAAGACGCTACACATAAACTTTCATCAGCCAAACCATCTAATACAGGATATAAGGTCAATTCCTTTTAAAATTAACTGTAACACCTATTCCAGGGATTTCTAAATAGAGAACATGGGTTTTGAGATAACATATGACGTGAGAAATAGCTCTAGTAGTAAGGACTTGCACTGCCAACACAAAGGTATGCAGTTTGAAACCAGAAGAAAGATGGGCAGTCTCCTCTCATGCGATTTACTGTCCCTGAAAACCCAGGAGACGGTCAGCCATGAGTCAGTTCCAACTCACTGGCAAACAGGAACAACATATCAGATGTAACACAGATAACTATAAACTCAGTACAAATTACACTCTGAATAGTTTGATATTTTATTTTAGGTTTCCTTCATGTAAATGAAAAGACTACACTGTTTTACCAAATAAAATGTTATCATAGGAAATATAAGGCTGAATTATGTTCTTTTCTTTGTCTCTCTTGTGCTTTTAAAATAAGCTATTCCCTAAGTCTATGAGTCAGGGACTCAATGGCCATTAACAACAACAAAAATGCTGATGATATACACCCAGTCTACTCCACTCACTCCATCAAAAAGCAAACTCAAAGTCATTGCAATCAAGTTGAAACTGACTCATTGCTGAATCTCCAGCGGGTTTCTGAGGTTGTAAATCAGAGGAGAGGAAATTGCCCATCTTTTTCCTGCAAAGCTGATGGATTTCAACCACCAGAGATGCATGATCTTGAAGTCAGCAGATCAACTCCCTATGGACTAGATCATGATAACTCCTTACTCTCTTTACTGCATCCCAGAACTGACTCACAGCTGACTAATAGGGGTCTCAGGGGCTGTGAATTGCAGGGAAGGAAATTCTCCATCTTTCTTCCATAGAACATATGATGGATTCAAACTGTGTGTCTTTGGGTTGGCAGTACAACTCCTTAATTATTAGGCCTCCAGAGCTCCCTTACTCAGTCCACAGAAAACTACCAGTCTGATTTATGTCACTACTCTTTCATTTGCATCTACCAGAACTGATATAACTGTGTCCACAAAGTGTATATTCTTTGTCAGGCTTCTTTTCCTCAGAGTAACTGTTTTGAGATGAATTCATGTCATAGCACTTATATCAAGCTATCAGTCCATTTTGTGGATATATTACAACTAGCTTATCTCCTCACTTGTTAATGGACTTTTGGAATACTCTCTGGTACATGCACAATGGTGTTGCCTGAGTGCTGACAAACTGATGCACAGATATGCAGCAGTCACTGTACCCAACAGCAGGACACAGGGTCACTATTTCTTTCTTTTTTTATTATTTTATTATTTTTGTGTGAGTGTACC